TTCACGACAAGTAATCTTCGGTTTCATAGCATTGTCATCGGTTTCACCACATTATCTTCGGTTTCATAGCATTGTCATCGGTTTCATAACATTGTCATCGATTAGTCATGTGATTAAAATGGGGTGGGGGGTGGGTGGGTGGGTGGGTGGGGGGGTTTGTGATTGAATGAGGATGTGATGGAATGAGGATGTGGATGTCATGCTGAGAACATTGTCATCGTTTTCACGACAAGTAATCTTCGGCTTCATAGCATTGTCATCGGTTTCATAACATTGTCATCGATTAGTTGTGTGATTCGCGGACGGCAGTGGCGTTGGGAAAACACCACGTGTACTAACTTGTGCAAAAAAACTGCGCAAGTCTACTTGAGACAGGACGCATGAAAGTTGAGGACAGCCCGGGACAAAAACGGCGACGGATTTTGCGCTGGCGCTTGGGTTTCGGCAGATTCGGCTTTAAACCTGAAAGGATCCGGGACCCCAAAAAAACATCATCGAACAAGCAAAAGTACTGAGAGGGCTTGCACTTTTGAATCAAAATTTGCACGACTACACGTGCGACTCCACACCCGGCGGGTTATTCATGTTTGTGCCTTGGATATACTTGAGCATTGTAATCCTGTACTACACAGCCACCTATGCTTTACCGAGGAAACTTTCTGAAGGAACGAAACTCAAGCAGTTTCTTACGCATGGTCGACACGTTTAAAGTTTCATGGACTTTAGTTTTTATATACAGTACGACAGAAAGACAGAAAGCACAACTAGGTACTTCTTCAGAGAGTGTGTTTTGAAATGACACTGAAACATTTGATGCACAAAAACATGCACTTGCGAGAAGGGCTACTAGGAGCAAAGGGCATCGCTACTAGGAGCAAGAAGCTACTAGGGGCTCCTGGCCTTACTACTAGGAACAAGTAGCTATTAGAAACAATAAGCTACTAGGAAATACTAGGAACAAGTGCATCGCTTCTAGCAACAAGTGCCTTACTACCAAAGAAATCCAAAGAAGTGACCACTTGGGAACCTCCAAGGACAAATTCCGTGGTGGTAAATGGCGGAGCCTCTCCGGCATGCTGCGCAACACGTTTGCCTTTTGACATGTTTTTATATAGGTTTGTTGGATCATCAGTTTGGTGGCTCGATGTGCTGCTTGGGCTGGTTCTTGCTTGTGCGCTTTTGACTGACTTCTATCGATTCCTGCCAGGTCTCCAATTTGATGGCCTTGCACAGCTTTGTGAGCTGTTTCCGTATTTCAGAAGCGGTTAGCTGAACCCCCAATACCAGCATCGTCTCGGGTGAAAGCGACGATGCCTGCACACATTGATTCGCCCAATGAACTCACTTGCAGCAGGTAAATCCATGATGCTCAGGTATATTGCGTATCCTGCATACCACACGCAGGCGGCATTGAGCACAGATCGTGATTTGCTTGTCATTGTGCATGTCAACTACATGTTCGCATGCACGATGTAACTTGAATGTATAATATGCACGTGAAAACATTGAGTCATAACATAGAGGAAGGATGTAGCGCGGTCAGGTTCTGTGAATTTGAGGGGCTGGAGTTTGTGCGAAGATGCATTCTTCGCAGGACATGTACAGAAAGATTCTGCTTGGCAAGGCACCGCAAGACTGCATCCTGTAAACCTTTTGAAACAATGCGTCTTAAAAAGTAAAGCCTAGGCATGAACAAAAGGGTTTTTGCTTGTCAGAACAGAACGTGTGCCTGATATGGTCCATTGTTAACGCCTCACAGGCCTTTTGGGAGCGTTTGGATTATGAAAGAATCAAGTACCAGACGGTGGTGAGGAGCGAGAGTAATGCTCGGGACAACTGTTGGGAGAGAGTTTTGTGCAGTATGTCTCATTGGAACGTGCTTTCGAAGTGTTTCTCTTGTTGATTCTTTTGAGGTTGTTTTGATTGAAAGCAATACCTTTTGAGTGTTCATAATCGTGTGACTGTGCTTGTGTTGAAGAACCAGACTTTAAACAGCTAAAGGCACTAGTGTTGTTCAAATCACCTCTCTGCTACTGAAAGATATATATATACACATTTCTCAAGCGAGAAGGACATTTGTCATAGCGTCGGTTGCCTTCATCGTTGTCCCGATGTCACTGAATTCTTCAGGACCAAGCGTGTCCGAATGCCTTTTACCAAGAAGAAGATTGAGGCCAAACGGTGGAAATGTCTATGTCCAAACAATCTTATGGCTGATGAACCTCTACCCTCAGAGGATATTGTTGTTCCCAGCCAGGTTTGCGGAAAGCAGAGTAACTTGAAGTATATGTTATATGTTCCATGCAGAACTTCCCTTTTCCCCAAGGTGAAGCTTCCGGGCCGTTGCACGATGCAAGAGCTTCTTGAATACTCTCGGCGCAACACGGCCGTGCAGGGAGGTAAGCAAGGAGTCCCAGCATAGTGAGGTTCTTGTGCTGAATGATATCGCATGATCAGAAGATACATAATGATATACATGCATATATGTGTGTTATATACATATATATATATACATGTGTATATATACGTATGTATAGCAAAAACTGAGGCGTGTGACGTCCCAAGATGCTGGTGAGGCCTGAAGGGCGTCAGACACTGCTGGTAATTTAGACTTGCAAGTTGAGCACGTTTTATATTGTGTTGGTTGATCCATATTGTGGACATGCATACTCCAGAGACTGGGACATTAGAAAGAGATGTGTCAACCGGCCTCTTTGTTGACCCTCTGAGTAGAAGTCGGGGTTCCAGCGGCCACCTAGCAAGAAGCAGTGCTATGCTGTGCTTATTGCGTCAGTCCCTGTCGCTGGAGGCCGAATCGACGTTGGCCAAGGACACTTGTAGTTTTGGATTGCTATTAGGTTGGAGGCCATTGCTATTGAGGGATATGAAGTTACACCGTTCACGGCTGGAGGTCCAAAAGAAATCTGTTTGTTTGGGCTGTCTTTAAGGCACTATGCGTCCGTCAAATCTCCCATGCAAACTGCGAGCTGTCGGGAAGCAAAGAACTTTCTGTTTTGGAGGTCATCCAAGCGAAGCAAACATTCAAGAAACTTCATGGAGGTCTGGCTGTTCGGCTGAAACAAAAGGCAAAACCCAACTAGTAGCGTCCTTGCTCCTAGTAGCCATGCCCTTTGTTGCTAGTAGCTTCTTGCTCCTAGTAGTAGTGGACGATGCAGCCTAAGAGCTGGGCAGCGTGTGTTGATTGCGCCAATCACGGTCAGCCGACAAGCATGCCTGTCCGATCTTGGAGGCAGCTGTCAATGTATGTCAACTAACTGTCCCCAGGTGCTGGCGTGTCAACTTGTCAAGCAGGCTTCCAGAAACTATGTAGACAGACACAAATATCAGCTTCTAAACAGGACACAAATACTATATGCACCGAGAAAAACAAGGATTTTGCAAGATCAGGGCTCCTAATCTTCTTAAGTTAGAAGCCGTGTGTTAGTGATGGTGTTTAATCTAAGCATCACCACGGTACCTCGTTTTATAGTGTATATATATATATATGTGTGTGTTCTTATTCAGAGAGACAAGCCATTCTGCTAGTCCATCAAGAACCACCAATCAGCCGTAGTTCAAAGCTGGACTCAAGTGCGGTCTGTGATGGGTACAAAACATATAACATGAAGGACTCGGACAACACATGAGTGAGTCAAACCAAGATAGTCAAACCCCCTTACTAGTAGCGTCCTTTCTCCTAGTAGCGATGCACTTTGTTACTAGTAGCATCCTTGTTCCTAGTAGTAAGGGCAGGAGCTACTAGTAGCATCCAAAAAGCTACAGTAGTTCTTCTTTGCTTCTGTGCAACAAACAGGAAAAGTACACAGGGAAACTCCTAGGGCCCTAGGCCCCTAAGATCCGAAAAGGTGGAAAGCCATCAATCGGCCAGTCGTGGCCCAACAAGAAATAGAAAGACAAAACTATACAAAACTGATTTAAAAAGAATCAGTAATCAAGAAAATATCGGTGTTTAGTTTTTTGGGGTTCCCTTCAAAGATGGTGACATGTTCTGGCAAAAAAAGGTCGTATGCGGACTCATGCAGTCATGCAGATGCTTTACTCAAGGGCTTGCCCGTGTAGCGCTTCAGGAGCGTGACCAGCAAATCCAACGCAGTCCAATCTTGAGCCTTCATTGCACCGAGCATGCTATCCTGGTGTTGACGTGCCCATGGTCGACCTTGGTGTGCTTCGGTGACTCAGGAACATGATCCGGAATCCCAGATGCATGTGCGCCACAAACTTGAAAAGTCCATATTCCCTGGATTTGCTATCCTCCTCAGCTTTGGGACTCTGTGCTGGCACGTTTGCGGGTGCATGCAGGTACTACATTCCACAAGAGAGCGGCAAGAACATTCAGAAGCAGAAGGGGCTCGCCTCGCCGCAGTTGAGCACTGGGGGCGGCTAGTGCAGAGTGCATTAGCATGAAGGCAATTCTACAGGGATTGCTTAGTCACTGTTGCCAGATGCTTTGGGGGTTGGGAATGACAAAGTAAGTATTAACGGCTGCATTTCGGGAGAAAGAAAGGAATGAATTGAGCCCCAGTCGGTGTGCGTGGCATGCCAGGCACCGTTCTGAATTGGATGTGGGTGAACAGGACATGGAAAGCCACTGGGCAAAATAGCTGAGTAGCTGTCAAAGCTCAGCTCCACGCACTTATGGTAGAATCATGTCACCTGCGGTTTTACATTTAAGGTAGACATATTTCAAGCATGTCAGGTGTCTTGCAAGCGTATACGGCGTATCCCAGCAGATTTAAGAACCAAGTGAGTAGTGAGAGGGCTTTCCTGTGTCCCAGCTACTAGTCGCAACTATATAGTAGCTTCCTAGGTCTACCTCCTCACGGCCTACCCACCCCCAGGAAAGCACGAGGGTTGTTTCCTTTTTGTTTCCTTCGTCCTTGCGCCGCCCCGGACCTAAACCTCGCAGTGCGCAGTTTCGGAAACACACTCCCACAAGCACACAACCACAAACACACAAGAACAACCACAAGCACACAAGCACAACGCACAACCACACAAACACCATCCACAAACACA